GTCCGTTCAAATTAGAACGTCTCTGTAGTTTTTTGATCTTCTCAGAATTCTCTCTTCTCTGTTTGAAGACCAAATTAAATTTTCTTTTGTCAAAATTCCAGTGGTTGAAAATGAATCATAAAGTTCTTTTGGCTCATAGCAGCAATAAAGAACTATTTTACTGTTCACCTTTATATAACACATGATTTATTCAATTCACATTTCACTGTCTCCTATTCATTATATCAGAGGACACATATTACATATCACTAGCTTTGACCATCAACTTGCTAGCCATTGAACTCTGACCATAAGTATGAGATATATATTGCATTTACTATTTATCTGAGGAAATCCAATTTTTCCAAACAATCAAAGACCTAACTGCATCTTGCAGTTAACAACAACGTCAACAACAAGATTACATTTGTATAGCGCCTTTCTTGTCGGGAGGACATTCCAAGGCGCTGACAGTGTACAGCATTTCAGACCCGAGCTGGAGTCAGGGAGGGAGAAGGAAGGGGAGGACAAGGGGGGTGACCGATGGCATGGTCGAAGAGGAAGGTTAATAATAATCCTTACATTTGGTACAGCGCCTTATCAAGTCTTTGAGACATCTCAAAGCTCATTATAAATTTGAGTGAATGTATTTTTCGTTTCGCCCACATTCAACTTTACAATACATTCCGTGAACCGCATTCAGACGTCTCAACAACATGATAAGGCGCCATATCAAATGGAAGTACTATTATCATAAAGTGTTTCAAGATATTCCGTAAAGTGAATTGTCCGTATATTTTGCAGGAGGTTACACTTTTTGTTGATAATTCATTTGGTTTAGAACCAGCCAGCTCTTCTCCTATTGAGCCCATCACCCAGCTACAGGAATTCATCTGATTGTACCTATCAATAGTAAGAATCAGAAACCATGACAAAACTGTAATCTATATGGAATTCAGACATCTTACGACAAACCCAATGTTGACATTTCTTAGCCTTGTAATGTCAGAGGTCAGTAACTGGCTAACCACATCTGGGATGAAGAGTCTATAATGGAACCCTAAGGGCCAACATGTTTGATCTACAAGATCAAGGTCAGACGGCTTGATTTCCAATTGAGAATTACATATCAAACTGATTTATCTACGGTCTGGAGGCCTCTAGTGAATTGCGCTTTTGTAAGTGTAAAATTAACTACCACATAGACATTCACATCCTGAACTAAATCACATCTTAAAACATTCTGAATAAAGGCTTTTTTTAATACTTGGAAGATAATGAGCTTCTTTTGTTGGTCTTTTAACCACAGCAATGGGAGTTCATGATCATGAGGTGAGTGTAATATAACAAATAGTTAATTCTTTGTTTATTGCTAAGCATAGTTTTATTTGAATGGAAATAAGTAAAATCGACTCCCATTATACTTGTTTAATGGCACCTCAATTAATTTATTTTAAAAGGAGGCGGATTATGAAATTAACATTTGTGAGGATAAATTTAGACATGGGTGATAAAATGCTCTATCAGAGGCTCGAGTTCAATTAAAGGAGATTATAATTATAGAATGTTTCAGCACTGAAAAAGTTCACTTGGACCATTGTGCCCATGCCAGCTTTCTACAAGATAGTGTATCAGTCTGGTTCAGCTGGTGGCATTCTTAACTCTGAGTCAGAAGGTTGTGGTTTCATACCCCACGTCAGGCCTTGGAACTCACACAGTCCAGGCTAACATCCCATTACAGTGCTGGATTTGGGTTGCATTGTTTTTCGGTTGAGACTGTATGAATTCTATGAAGCACTTTGAAGCGTAATCCTCATATGAAAGGTGCTGTATGAAATGCAAGGATTATTATTTTCTATCCGTTTAGATCCAGTCCCCCACCTTTTTGCCCAAATCCATAATGTTCAATGTAATTTGTTAAACCTGCCATTTTGATAAAGAGTTTTTTTGTCCTGGATGTTTTACCTGCGGTTACTCACAAAGACCAAATAATAAGAGGCCATTTTCAGTGTGAACGGAAGAAGTGCATTCAATGTATCAAATGGCCTTTTAGTACAGTCTATACTGCTGATTGGTGCAAAAATAACAATTCACATCCTAGAAGATTTTTCATTTTGTCATTAAAACATTTCCATTCTTATTAAACAATATTTTCAATACTGTTGGACCAGCTGGCTCATTAATTTGACTTATTGAGAAATGTGTTGTCATCAGTTTTGATTGAATTCTGTGTTAGAGTCTTATGCACCAGAAACGAGGAACGATGTGTATATATTTAAATTCTTCATGTCTTCAAGGTTCCTGGATAGCAAGATTTTTATAGCTGCTTCATATGCTTTTCATACATGATTTTCCAACTTTTGAGCATCACCAATTTTTAAGATGTATTCCTATGGACCAATTTATCCCAAAAGATAGGATGGAAATGTATGTAAATGTGGAATTTGTGTTTATGCAGTTTTTGGTACTCTGTTCTCCACATTAGTACAATTTACATCTAAATATTTTCAGCGGGATTTGTTGCGTCCTAATGAACCATGCAGACTGCTGAATCGGATATTCTATCTCCAATAACAGAAACACTCAGTTTTGGGGTAACAGGAACAAGGAAATCATCTGGAATGCAAATTCAAGAGAATTATGATTTGAAATCAAGGGATAGATGCAGTCTAAGATTAGCTGAAAAAAAGAAAAAAAATTCTCCCACTAGATATTTATATTTTAAAATTGATCTTGATGTTTCTTTATCTTATAATCTCTTCAATCGGCTATTCTAATTTGACTTCCACAAAATTCTCTCTGCATGCAAACTATTAGTTGCCTTCAAGAGTGAGGTGATAGATTTTTGGTAGGTCAGGGTATCAAGGCATATCGAGAAAAAGTGGGAAATTGGAATTGATAGGATTATTTGAGGTACAGATCAGACATGATCTAATTGAATGGCAGAAACAGGTTTGTAGTACTGAATGACATATTGCACTCATATAAAATACTGGTGCATAGCACTCCACCAGAGAAGCTGTCTTGATTGGTACAATAGAGTGTTTGTATCCACTCCTGTGTCACTGTATGATTTGTCACACATTATTAGGCACAGGAATGAATATTCCTATGTTTCTGATTTAGAAAACTTGGCTAATAAAATAAAATAATTGGTTAATAAAACTACGGCCCAGTGTGAACCTGCATCTTGTAGATGCAGAGGTAACATTGGTGGGGGCTGAATTAGAAGTTTATCTGGTGTGATTGGCCTCAGCACCCCTTGGCAATACTGCTCAACCTTACATTAGGTTCCATTTGCAGCACAACTATCTGGTAATTAACTCCATCCATCAAACCAATTTTCATCCAATTTACAACAATTTTTGTTCTGAAAGCTTTCACTTTAACCACAAGTCCTTGTAATGCATTTTTATGAAGTGCAGATACCATTACAATTCAATTGTTTGGGTCTGAAAACTCATACCCATGTTACAATGGAGTGTACTCTACAAATGATTGCTGGTCAGTGATTCTGGTCAGCAGCAGCAGCAGATGGATGGACGGAGGGAGAAAGGGAAGGAAGGAGGGAGGAATGGACCGGCAGACGGACGGAGGAATAAACGGACGGAGGAACGAACGGACAGAGTGGGTACAAGTATATGTAGCTAAGGCAAGTAAATTGGATTAAAAGATCAGCAATAATAAATAATAATATCCTTGCATTTGATATAGTGCCTATCACACCTACGAGACTTCTCAAAGCATTTCACAGAATATATTTTATGGGAGAAACGTGGCAGCCAATGGTACAGAGCACTGTCCCACAAACAGTCGTAGATTGATGATCAAATTATTATTGTTTTAATTTTTTTAAGGGATTATAACAACGACAACAAGATTACATTTGTATAGCGCCTTTCATGTCGGGAGGACGTCCCAAGGCACTGGACAGAGTACAGCATTTCAGACCCGATTATAACCATCATAACCGATTATAACCCATGGAAAAGCAATCTGCCAATCGACTGCCAACTGGGTCCCTACTTACTCCTAGGTAAACAGAGTAAGGAAACATTCCCAACATTTCACCTCGCCCAGGAATCGAACCCAGATCCTTTCGCTTGCGAGGCAAGTGCTCTAACGACTAAGCTACAGGACTCCACAAAATAAGAATTTGACACAGCTCCTTTCTTGGTGGGAGGATGTCTCAAAGCACTTCAGGTATGGATGGCTATATGGGAAATTTCCTGATTGGCTCCTGATACCTAGCGCCCTAGAGTCCTCTATTTGAGTGAGTGAAACCTTGGAACAGGCAATCATCACCCAGAGCCCGCTCTCCCTGATGACTGATAGCTACCATAGCTAATCATCATCCAAAGCCTGCACTCCCTGATGACTGACAGCTATTGCCCAGATTCCACTCTTGAAACCCCCGTGAATTGGCACCCCATTTTACCTGAAAATCCCGAGCCCTTTCAGGGAGCCAGGTTTACAGGCCATACTGTGGAATAAGCTTGATGAGCTGAATAGTGTACTCTAGCTCCTAAGTTCCTAATATATTGCACTCATGAAAAGTACTGGTGCATAGCACTGCACCAGAGAAGCTATCTTTATTTATCTTTATTGGTAAATAGAGTGTTAGTATCCATTCTAGTGTCACTTTATGATTTGTCACACACATTATTAGGCATTGCAAATCTCTGCAAACAATAGATGTCTGACCAATCTATAAAGTTGACATGAGATCTGTAAATCCTAATAGAAACATCACTGTCCTCACTTCTAACCTGTCTGTGCCACCGATAGGTGAACTCTATTTTGAAATACAAAACAACATTACATTTATAAATAGGTTTCAAAAGAAGCATAACATTTGGCAGCCAATTTAGCCCACTCTGTCTCGTCATTTACTGGAACCCAGAGTGGAGTGCTGATAAATCGAAATGGAAAGATTGAAAATGATTGGTGAGTTGAGTCACTTACACAATTGTAGCTCAATAATGATTGAGCCAACTTGTGGTGCTCTGAAAAGAGTCTGACTACAATTTCGACAGCTGGGCAGAAAATTGTAACCTTGTCCAGCGATTTACATAAATCTTTCCAATCGGAACACTCCTGCAATAGAACAAAACAAAATTATCAGTTCTCATGATATCAGCCAATCGGTAGCACTCACACCTGAGTCAGAAGGTTGTGGGTTCAAGCCTCACGCGAGGATTTGGAACTCATATAGTCCAGGTTGACACTCCAATGGGGGTGTGTTGCATTGTTAGAGGTGCTGTCCTTCAAATGAGATGTTAAAAACCAATGTCCCATCTACCTGTTCAGGTGGACGTTGAGGATCCTATGGCAATATTCAAAAATAATTATTATTAATTAAGGATTATTGTTAATACTATTAGAATCCTGTAGTTTAGTGATTAGAGCACTTGCCTCACAAGTGAGAGACCTGGGTTCACTTCCCAGCAGGGCGAAATGTTGGGCAAGTTTCCTTACTCCACACACCTCTGTTTACCTAGCAGTAAGTAGGAACCCGGTTGTTAGTCGATTGGCGGATCACTTTTCCAGGGTTAATAATTCATTAAAATTGTTTTAAAAAAAATAATAATTTGGTCACTTTATTCGCAACTGATTGTGGGACACTGATTTGTGCAATTGGCTACCACGTTTCACCCACAAAACATACAGTCAATTCACTTTATAGTATATTCTGTGAATCTCTTTGAAACGTCTAGAAGATGTGATAAGGTGCTGTATCAATTGCAAGGATTATTATTATTATCTAATGAAGCGCTTTGAGATGTCCTCCCTCACTTTAAAGCCCTTCACGCTCTTGTTCCCCTCAACCTCTTTGACCTCCTAAAGTCCTACCAATCTGTCTGCTCCCTCCGGTCAGAGGGTACTGTACTGGCCTGATCCACGTTCCCCCACCCTGCTCATCCCACCATCAGAGGTCATGCCTTTTTCTTTTCTGCACCCACCCTCTGGAACTCCGTCCCTGAGGCCCTCTGCCTCGATCCCTCCCTTACCTCCTTCAAGGTCCATCTCAACACCTTCCTATTTGACTACGCTTTTGATCACCTTCACACCATCACCCACTTTGTCTTCCACCACTCCTGACTCCAGCACACAGTTTGGGTGCAAACCATTGACTGACCAGCACCTTGGGACATCCTCCCGATGTGAAAGGTGCTATATAAATGCAATTTGTTGGTGGTGTTGTAATTGTTGTTGTTGAAAGGCTCTATATCAAATGTAAGCAATATAATTATTATATCCTGTGAAGAGCTTTGAGATGTCCTCCCGATGTGAAATGAGCCATAGAAATGTATAGATTACTAATATTGTTGTTATTCACCTTCTCCAGCTAGTAACTGATGTTGCCAGCACTGCAGGCAGACATCCTGCTTTCCTGTTGATTCACACACGAGATAATAATGACTGAGATAATCAGCAACTTGCCAGCTTTTTATTAATGTTTATATAATTCAAATGAAATGACGGTGTGCAATGTTGCAAAGCCATCAGGTTATAAGCTTCAGTAAACATAATGAACCTGTTAGAAAGGAAATATAAATTTATATTAACATTATAAATGTAACATATTGTTTGAAATTGTTGATTTTTTAAAAAAGAAAGCCTTCAATCATTACCTGTTGAAACATCTGCATAGAACATATTTGTTTTCAGTCAATAAAGCTTTTCAACTGGTTTCATATCAGCTGTGATTGTTCTGACTCATTTTGATTCAGAAAGATACATACATAAAATATGTATGGCATGTTCCCAAGATCAAAAATTAGTTTGTATAAATAAGAGCCTTTGACCAATCTGACTTTATCCTTCCAGAATACCAACCCCCCATCTCCCATCACAGCATCGAGCTGTTTTTCAAGAGAATAAATTGGTGCCATGGAAATGCAGTCACGCTGTACACATGCTGAGGTCAGACAGTGAGCTTGTCTGCCGATCTAGCCGGTATCCTACGCTCCACCACTCATAAAATCCATCAGAACTCTGCCACCCGTGTTCTCATCCATGCCAGGCTCCATACCCTCATCACCCCAGTCCTTGCCAGACTCCACTGCCTCACTATTGCAGAATGGATTGATTTCAAGATCTTCACACTCACATAAAATCATTAATGCCCTTGCACCAACCTATCTCTCTAACCTGCGTACACCCCATTCCTCTACCCACCCCTTCAATCAGCTGGCCAGAGCAGAGTCTTCTGCACATCCCTCATCCCGTCCACTCCATCCCAAACCTCAGCCTCAATCAACCTTCTTCTTTGATTGTGCCATTGGTCACCTCCTCTCTCTCTCCGGCTTGGAAAAAAACACATCCTTCTAGTCATTTTGAATATTTAATCGGTGGGGGGGGGGGGGTGGCGGGGAATATTGAAGCTCTTGGCCATTCATGGTTAAGGAGCTATTTCTGAGTGGAGGCCAAATTGATTTGCATCTTCTACATTTATTGTGGAGTCCTGTAGCTCAGTGGTGAGAGCGCTCGCCTCGCAAGTGAGTGACCAGGGTTCGATTCCCGGCAGGGTGAAACGTTGGGCAAGTTTCCTTACTTCACACACCTCTGTTTACCTAGCAGTAAATAGGAACCTGGTTGTTAGTCGATTGGCGGATCGCTTTTCCAGGAGTAATAATTCCTTCAAAAAAATGTATAATAATAAATTGGTCACTTAAATATTTGTTTGCTGGACACAGCTGTGCGCAATTGGCTGCCACGTTTCGCCCGCAAAATACACAATCAATTCAGTTTACAGCTCGAATACGTGATAAGGCGCTATATCAAATGCAAGGATTATTTATTATGTTTGGTGTCAAGCTTCATCAAGTGCTCTGAGATTTTACCCTCTGTGAAGGATGCTATCTGTGTAAATGCAAGTTGTTGTTGCTGTTGGTCACATTGTTTGTGGAGTCCTGTAGCTCAGTGGTTAGAGCACTCGCTTTGCAAGTGAGAGACCTGAGTTCAATTCCAGGCAGGGCGAAACCTTGGGCAAGTTTCCTTACTCCACACAGAGCCTAATAATAATCCCTCCAAAACCAAAAACAATAATAAATTGGTCATTTTCAATCTACGACTGTTTGTGGGACATTGCTGTGCGCAATTGGCTGCCGCGTTCGCCCACAAATATACAGTCAATTCACTTTACAGTGTGTTCTGTGAAGCGCTTTGGGACGTCCTCCTGACGTGAAAAGCGCTATATCAAATGCAAGGATTATTATATTATTATTATTGATGGGACAGTTTGGTGGCAATCCCTGAATGATAAATCCAATTAGTTAGTAGCAGAGTTGTGACTGCTATCAATCTGCTTTCACAATCCCTTTTATACATGCTTTAATCAAAGCAAAATTCATGTATTTTAATTACCATCAATTATACATCAGGGTTGCCATGAAAGTAAATGCTGCTCTATCAGCTCCATGGATGTGAATGAGAACTATTGGCATTCAGCTTTCCTGCTTTAAACACAATAAATCCAGGCGAAAAACATACATTTAATGCTTGCACTCCACATTTCTATAACCTATCTTGTGAGCCAGTGTTTAAGATGCAGGTCTGGTCGGTAACACATTCTGTCTTGATGGCTTTGATGGTTTCTCCTTCCCCCTTACTATATTTTGTGGCTCTGTCATTCTCCTCCAGCTAAGAATGGAGGACAGACAGGGTCACTGATAGCCTCTTCAGCACATTTCTTTTGCCAGTGTTGTTTGTTTAGCATACTGGAGAGTACTGAGAGGCACTTTGGACTACATTCAGCCATTTCTCCCTGGGGAGAGAATGCTCCACTTCAGTGAGGTATTTGGCAGGCTTGTGGAAACAGCATCACATGTGAGTATTTGCCAAATCAAGTGTTATGTCACTTGAAGGGGACTTTTTTTAGGGAAAGATAAAAATGTATGAAGTTCAGAACAACCCTCTGATCCCCTCCCCTTGTTTTCTTTCCCCCAATATTGTGTGTGGTTAATGCTAATTTATGCTAGCAGCGCTCCGAAATGTTGAAGACCGCTGTATAAATTCAAGTTGTTGTATTTATAATAATAATAATAATTCTTACATTTGATATAGCACCTTTTTAAGTCAGAAGGACGTCTCAAAGCACTTCAAGGGTTATACTGTTAAGTGTAATAACTGTTTTGTGGGCGAATTTGGCAGCCTATTTGTACACAACATCCTACAAACAACCATGAAGTGAAAAAGCAAATTTATTTGAGGGATTGTTGGCCAGAACATTCGGTAAAACTACCTTCTACTTTTTCAATTCAATGAGAATTAAAAAAATGAGAATTATTTTACTAAACCCACACTTTTTCCAAGTATTTTGATTAAAACTATTGTGCATTGGCAGCTGAACTCTGGTGTATCAGCACATTAGTGAGTGTCAGGCAAATCAGTTTCCTATCATATATCAAGTTTCACAACATTAGTAAATCACCTAGGAATTGGACCACGGATTAACCAACAGACAAAAACAGCCTCCTTTCAAGAAGAAATAATGGAAACTAGACTCTGATTCCATGCCAACAATTTGTCAATATCTTGTCCAAGTAATCAATCTTCATGTGTGAACCTTAACAGAGGTTGAGTAGCTATTGAAGTGTGATTGAACTGATTCTCACTCAACATACATCTCTGCACTTCAAACCAAAAGGAGGGGAGGCAATGAATAGCAGTGAGAGCACAAATCCTGTCTTATCTTTTCTTCCCTCTCCCCATCCCTTGAGGTCTCAGACTCCAACCGGTCGATCAACAATAGGTGGCATCTTGCGCATGCTCAATAAAAACAACAAGTTACATTTGTACAACGCCTTTCACGTTGGGAAAATGTCCCAAGGGCTGGACAGTCAGGGATTTGGACCCAAGCTCAGGAGGGGTGGAGGGAAGGGAGGGTAATAATAATAATAATAATCCTTGCATTTGATATAGTGCTTTTCATGTCTTCTCGACGTCTCAAAGAGCTTCACAGAATAGACTGGAAAAGTGAAATGACTGTATATTTGTGGGCCAAACGCGGCAGCCAATTACGCACTGCAGTGTCCCACAGTCATGGATTGAAATGACCAATTTATTATTGTTTTTGGAGGGATTATTATTAG